CTAGATATCCTTCTATCCTTCTTAAAACTCCTTTTTATCTTTTTTGGTGCTTCATACTTAGAATTTTAGAACAAAACCAGATCGCTCTTATTTTGGTTAAAGTCAAATCTCACTCAGGAAATCCTTATAACAAAAATGTGGATAGATTAGCAAAATCTGCTCTGATGCAACCTCTTTTAACACTTTCACTCAATCACATTCCTTACATTCCATTCGTTTCTACTTTATGTCATTTACCTGTTAACAAGAAAATCAGATCCTTCTTCAAAGACTACATCAACACAAACACTATCATGGATTTTCTTGATTTAAAGAGGAACTTTAAATATTCGGAACTGTCTATTAATTGGCTTTACACCTTTTAACTTATCAATTTTGAACACTTGAACCAAACAACATTCAAAGAATCATACTGCTATAAGCGAAAATATCAACTCCTTTTGGAGATTCTTCCCTTAATTGAAAGTCTAAAAATTTCAAGATCTGATTTATATGACGATAACTGGACCTGCTATAAATGTCTTACCAAAAAGAAACATTCGACCACATATGGCTTTGTTCAAGGAATCACTATTTACTTAATCAAATAGTACTCAGTACCTTTGTTAAACTTAAAGAACAACTTTTCATTTACACATCTAAAACTGTATGGTCTAATGAATTGAATGCTTTAATGAATCTAACTTTTGATTACTGGATTCTGACTATAACCTCTTCTAAAAAGTTTAACATAGTAGACATAATCAAAGGAATCGTTCCTAGCCATTTTTTCCTCTGCATCAACAATTTTACAAACTGCAACAAAAAATAATGACTATCCTATCTGTTTTTTCAAATATATACAAACTCAGACAATTACGTTAATTTGGATTCCTAGATGTGATTTAACTATTGCTACAGAACTGCAACTTGGAATAATTAAAAAGAAAAAACTTTACACCAAAGCTCCTAAAAATAATAATAATAATAACCCCCATATCATCATCTTTTCTTCCCAACTCCTCTAACACATCCTCTCCAATTTCTAAATTTACTAACTTATTTTATGATTCTTACATTCATGGTCGATCTTGGCCTCTTTTTAAAGCAGTGAAAACTAGTTGTCTGTTTTCTTTCTGTTAGTTATGTAGTGACTTGACTTTTCATAGTAGTTGTTTAGAAATATGATAGGATAACCAGTTGGTTTAGTCGGAGTTAGTTAAACCCTTCGAAGAGGGCTAAGCAGTGTTTACTTTATTTTTTTACTTTTGTACCCGTCTTGGGATTTTTTTTTTAATTGAATTTTGAATTTTAAATAAATAAATGCTTCACTGCGTCTTTAAAAAAAAAAAAAGTAGTAAAATTGATTTGTTCTTACGTCTCACTTGGCAGAGGCCTTTATTTCCATATATGATCATAAGATTGTATATAAATTAAGAAAGTGATTGACCAGAACTTAGTAGATTAGATCAATGGTAATAATAAACTGTATTGCATACTTGTAGCACCGTCTAATTGAGCTATCACTAGGGTTAGAGGTCAGGTTCGATTCCTGAGTTATTTGACATTATGAGTATCAAAATCACCTAGTTGATGTGATCTATATGCACAACTGGAGATCACCATTTGGGCAAATCTTGTGGTACTATCCCATGAACCCTGCGACTCTCTATATAGTAGTGATAAAGCCAAACTAATTAATTGGATCTTGGTTATAGTTCACTAGACCGTTGGTAAATTTAGTGATGACGTTCACTATGACTGAGATGATCCCTCTATCCAAATTTGACAGTACCTTTGATGCTAAGTATCTAATACAGATCCAACATGCAGTTTGAGTTGCCTAGTTAGAATATTATACTTAGATGAGAACATCAAGGGGAATGCATATGACATAGTGGATAACTTGAAAAATAGGAAATATCTGAGATTGATTAGGTCTCGTACTTTACCATTACTAGTGTCTAGTGTCAACTTGTTGACTAGGTTTAAGTGTAATGAGATCCTCAGTTAGTGTCGTAGCACCTTAAAAAAAAAGTAATAAAATTGATTTGTATAATAGAAACCATTGATGTCATAGTTTATTTAATTCATTTAATTCATTTTATCTGTTTATTTTATTTATTTTATTATATTTATTTTATCTGTTTTATTCATTATCTTGTTTTTCTTTATTTTCTTTATTTAAATTATTATAACATTATATAGAATAGTTTTTATATAAATAGGAGTAACTTAGGATTAAGTATCAATAGATCATTTTAGTTTTATCTTATATTAGTTTTAGTAGTTTAAATCCTTTAATAAATAAACTGTTTAGTACAGACGCGCTGACAGAGACAGTACTATAATTTTGTTTGTTAATCATTTATTCTACACATATTATCATATTTCTTCACACTTATAAAATAATAATTAAGTTCTTTATCTTCTTTACGAAGGAAACCTTCTGCACATGTAATTATAACGCTTATTTAAGTTGAGCATTTTAAAGAACTGGCATAATACTATCTATTGTATAAAAACTATGTAATGATTTCCTCATCTTCTTTATATAATGTTGTTGTAATGATTAAGTAATGACTACCTAATCGCTATGCAATAATTCTTTTAACTATAATATATATATATTTGAAAAGATGTAGAGAATATAATTATATTGTTCTTAAATTATTACTATATCTTTATACTTAGCCTTTGACTAGTTTCTCTTTGAAGTTCCTATTTGGAGTATCTAGTTTAGAAGGTTATGCGTGTCTATATAGGATAATGATCTATTACTTCATTTCTTTATTAACTGATCTAGTTAATTCTGCAGATCAATTTGGAAGATCATTGGATCATTGATTTTGTAGATTAATTCACATGATGATCATTTGTGGATCACTTTTACTGTGCCATATTTCTAATTCTTGCAGATCATTTAGGTTACAATATAAAAATGCCGCCCCAAAAGTCAGACGTAGTATTTATTAATAAAAAATTAATTTTTATTAATTTTTTATATAAAAATGCCACACTAAAAGTCAGACATAGTATTTATTATTAAATAAATTAATGTTTAATAATAAAATTCCACCCCAAAAGTCAAATGCAGCATTTATTAATAAAAAAATTAATTTTTATTAATTTTTATATTAAAATGCTACCCCAAAAGTCAGACGTAGTATTTATTATTAAAAAAATTAAATTTTAATAATAAAATGTCACCCCAAAAGTCAGACGTAGCATTTATTAATAAAAAAATTAATTTTTATTAATTTTTTATATAAAAATGCTGATCTGAATGTCAAAGGCGGATTTTTGTTAAAAAAAATAACAAAATTGTTGTTTTTAACATTAAAACATTGTTCTGAACGTTAGAGGTGAGATTTTTGTTAAAAAACAACAAAATTGTTGTTTTTTAATAATAAAATGCCGATTTGAACGTTGAAGGCAGATTTTTGTTAAAAAAACAATAAAATTGTTGTTTTTTTAACATTAAAACACTGTTCTGAATGGTGAAGGCAGATTTTTGTTAAAAAATTTTTTGATCCGTTAGATACGGATACGAATTTAGATTTATCAGATTCAGATACAGATTCAGATTTAAATTTGTTAGATTCAAATCGAATCAAATTCAGATTTTTTAGATTTTGATCAAATCGGATCTGATTCGATCTGTGCAGAACACTATCATTATATAATAACGTAAAAAAATCACAATGTGTATAAAAATATAACAAAATAATAATAATAATAATTATTGAATAATTAGTATCCTGATGTAGATATTTACATTAATGTTTTGAATGTAAAAAAATAAAATTTTTTTCTTTTTTTTTTAGTTATTCTACCTTATAATTAATAATAAATAATTAAAAATAAATTAAAAGATATAATATTTAATAAACTTATTATATCATCATTCTATAAGTTACTGATAATTGATACTATAAGGTTGATTTCTAATATTATTAATATATAAAAAAGTTTGCTATCTTTTTTTAATAATTATTACTGGTATTATCATCATTATTCATTTTATTTACATTTCCTTCATCACTTTATTTTACTATTTTATAATTGTTTCTTCTCCTTTTTTTCTATCTTTATATTATATCTTAAAATTTTTTTAAGTATAAACTTTCATAAGATTTATATAACCTTCACAATTCTTCATAATTTTGAAATGTAAATATTAATACTGTTTTAGAAATAATTACTTGAAAATATATAAAAAATTATGATTTTTTTAAATTACATCATTATGCAGTAACGTATAAAAGCACAATATATATAAAAATATAATGAAATAATAATAATTATTATTATTGAATAATTAGTATATAAATATTTACATTAATGTTTTGAATCTAAAAAAATAAATTTTTTCTTTTTTTTTACTTATTCTACCTTATAATTAATAATAAATAATCAAGAAATAAAATGAAAGATATAATATTTAATAAACTTATTATATTATCATTCCATAAGTCACTGATAATTGATACTATAAGGTTGATTTCTAATATTAATAATATATAAAAAAAGTTTGCTAACTTTTTTTTAATAACCATCATTAGTGTTATCATCATTATCCATTTCATCTACATTTCCTTTATCACTTTTTTCTACCATTTTATTATTGTTTCTTCTCCTTTTCCTCTATCTTTATATTATATCTTAAAATTCTTTTAAGTATAAACTTTCACAAGATTTATATAACTTTCACAATTCTTCATAATTTTAAAATATAAATATTAATACTATTTTAGAAATAATTACTTGAAAATATATGAAAAAAATATGATTTTTTTAAATTACATCATTATGCAATAACGTAAAAAATCACAATATGTATAAAAATATAACGAAATAATAATAATAATAATTATCGAATAATTAGTATCCTGATGTAGAACATTAATGTTTTGAATGTAAAAAAATAAATTTTTTTTCTTTTTTTTTTAGTTATTCTATCAAAAAATAAAATGAAAGATATAATATTTAATAAACTTATTATATTATCATTCTATAAGTCACTGAATATTAACACTATAAGGTTGATTTCTAATATTAATAACCATCACTAGCGTTATTATCATTATCCATCTCATCTACATTTCCTTCATCACTTTTTTCTACCATTTTATTATTGTTTCTTCTCCTTCTCCTTCTATTTTTACATTACACCATGAAATTTTTTTAAGTATAAACCTTTACAAGATTTATATAATCTTCACAACCCTTCACAACCCTTCATAATTTTGAACTGTAAATATTACACAAAGTTACATTTTAGTGTAAACCTTTGCAAAATTATGTTTTGTAAACCTTCGTTGGGCCTGTAAATCTTCACAAACTCTTGTAAACCTTTGCAATATTACAGTGAAAGACTGTAATATTTACATTTTTTAGTGTAAATTTTATGGAGGTTTACTTTTAAAAAATTTTCCTGATCTATTATCATTATCAACTTGTAAAAATTTCTGGTTTACAGCTTTATTCTAAATAATATAATAATAATAAATAATTTAACTTGCATTAAATTTTATGCAAATTTATGAAACTTACCATATTTTTTATTTCATAAATTTTTCGAAAATTGTTTAGCAGGATCTAAAAATATTTCGCACATGCTAATTGCATATGATTTTAATATCGGGAATTTTTTGATTTATAAAGATAACTGATTCTCCTCTTTTAACTTTTTTAAAGAGATCAGTATATCATTTGCCAATGGCCGGGTGGTTCTTCCATTGTTGAATTTTTGAAGGTGGTGCATTGGTGTCCGTACCCACCGCTCATTTCTAAATGTCCAATCTCGACGGAAGATTTCTTTAATCGTGTAAGGAAGACCGTCTGCTTTCTGTTCAAACGAGGTGATACACTTGCGCTTTTCACGGCATGATTTGACCGAAGACAAGACTCTCTATCCTCTAATGATGCTAAATTTTATGCCTTAGTCGAAAATAAAATTTCAATGATACTTACAATATTGATAAATTTTTGATAAAAAAAATTCGTGAAAGGATCCCGAAGAGGAGGCATCGCATAAATTATCTTGAGCTCTTCCACGAATAGCTTTTTGTTACTTCCTTTGATAATTCCATTCATAATATTCGCGAACCTAATTTCTTCAATGTTTTGTCTCAAGGATTCAAGGATTTCTATTGCAAAAAGTGTAATTTAGAATTCTTTAAGAGTAAACTAATGAATGCACATAGAAGTAGACATACTAATCTTAACAGCTTAGATATAGTTCTGGACGATGAGAAATAATTGCATGTCTTGTATATTCTTGAATCTCCGAATAATCCTCACTATTACACCATTTCGTTTCGCAACTTTAAAACCACAACGAACAATTCGGGTCTAAAATTAAATAATTAATATTAGTGCAGTTATATTACGAATTAATAAACCGCAAATCTACCTGAGAGGATGCCCCTTTTTATTTGCAAATTTAGTTAAAAGGTCAGATACAACCGCACCAGATCTTAATTTCCATCTTTTCCAAATGCTTCATTAATGGGACGCTCAGAAGCTGGTACTGGATCCTCATCGGTTTCTAGAAGAGCTAGCTCAGGATCAATAATTGTTCCCTCTTCATAATTACCGAGCCCACGATCAAAAGTCGCGCTCTAGGAAATAATCTAATTAGTAAAGATTCAAAGGAAGGGTAAATTTTTCTTTAAATCATACAATTGTAACGTAAACTCGAAAGATTTTTCATCGCAGGATGAATCACTATCGAATTCTTGCAACCCTCGCTGAGGAGACTCTGTTCTGATCTATGCGTTCAAAAGGTTAGCAGACGTTTTTCTGCTAGTTAAATTTTAAGTTATATACTGACCTTAGTGAAGTTCTAGGAAATTCTCTCTCATTTTTTCGCTTGCATCGTTCGAAAAATGTATCTTGTTGAAAGTCAACAATTGGGAATTATATGTCTCAAAATGCTGAATACCAACCGATATGGTGGCAATTGCCATATTTTCTAGTCTACGCTTGATTGTGGAATTTTAATAAGACAATATGTTATTCAAAAAAATTATTTAGCCATGCTTACCATGTTCACTCTGTTGTTAAACTTCCGATTTCGCTAATTTCTTCATATGTTCATTCCATAAATCAATGTTTGTTTGAAGTTTATCGTCTTTCTAGTTTTAAAAATGAAAAATTAATTGATATATTATAATTTTCACAAAGTATTTTATAGTGAAATATCACAAAGCACACACGCCATCGGCACATTCCCGAGTCACTCAGCCAACGGGCGCAGGGAAGTGGTTTCATTTGAACATGCACGACATCAAAATTTCACTTCAGGCAAGCGAACCGGTTTCCTTCAGTAAAGTCACTCGGCCACCGGGCGCAAGGAGTGTGGTCTGTGCAAATATGCTAGAAGAGTAGAAACTTACTTTAAGACGTCGCTTCAAACTACTTGCGCAATGTCTTTATCCGGTAGTATTGCAATAAGAATCTTTAGCTCAGCTCTGAGCGAATTATGAGATTCACGTTTATCTGCTTCAGATACTCCCCACTCCCCAGGAGACTTGCTCCAATATTCTTAGGGGAAGTATCAAAAGCGAGGTTAAATAAGTTTATTAAAACATTAAGAAAAAAATATTTACCTCGATAGTCTGTCTAGTTGACCATTTATTTACAAATAAAAGTGTCGCAATTACGTAAATGACATTTGCATTAGGGTCAGGATGGGTTGGCGTGATGGTACAAAATTCGCGCGTGATTTTATCGCAAAAATCGCGATTATAATTCCGGCTGAA